CCTCTTCTTTTCCCCCCAAAATCTTTTTTCCTTCTCCCCCTTTTTTTTTTTTTTTAGTCCCGCTGAACTTTTTTTTTTTTTTTTTTTTTTTTTTTTTTATGTTTCACAGTCTACCTTCAACTTACAAGTGAGTCAGTTCCTAATTGATCATGGATATAGTATGACTAGCACACAAACTCCTTCCACTTTGGGTGATGACTCAGGCAGCAGGAAGTGGTGTCTCTGAGTGTTTCCAAAATACAGAAGCTCTGATGAACCGGCAGCAAGAGGAGATGAGCTCACAGAGTTGGAATTATCATTCAAGAAGCATATTTTACAGATAGAGCCAGCATAAAGGCCAACACAATAAAACTACTCACTCCCAGGTCGCATAATGCGGATACATTTGCAGGACTTGCATTACACTCATTCAGATTTCATTTAAAACTTCCGGACATTTAGTTTATTTGTGTTGGTTGAAAGCTATAAATGTACAGTCAACCCTGAGATAATTCATCCTGCTATTGGGTCAAAGTGAGAAGGAGGTGAGATAAAATTATCTGATATGTAATGAATAAGCAGTTTGGGTTACAGAGCGTTTAGTAGAGGGTTATTAAAGGCCAGTCACAGCTAAACACTGTGACCTTCGGACACAGAAACTGACCGGATACTCAGAGTTTAGTCATTTAAACTCTTTGCATCAATTTAGGATTTCTGTTTTTTTTATTTTTTTTTATTTAAAATGATGCTGGAATAAATATGCCATAGGATCGTTTTCCTTTGAATCTTAGTCTGATTCATTGCTGTGTGCCTCTGCAGGTGATGAAGACCTACCACATGTACCACTCGGAAAGCATCAACGCCGAGAGCAAGCTGAAGGATGCTGAGAAGCAGGAAGAAAAGCAGATTGGGAGGGGGGACCCTGTGTTCAGCATACGGATGGAGAAGAAGATTGAGAAAATAAAAGAGAAGGTGAATTGTGTTGAAATTAATTTAAAATAGTGCATTGAATTATCATATTTAAATAAAACTAAATAAGTTTACACTTCACTTTCTCTGTTGGCATCTTTGCAGTTTCCTTAAAGAAAATGTGAACCATCTTTGAAGCGTTCACATTTTGTCAGGCTAAAACCACAAACATCAATTGGATTTTATTTTTTAGACGACATCGAAATAAATTGGGACGAGAAAACGTGCTTTGATGTAAACTGTTACATTCTAAATTTTGCAGCCTTCACCAAGATTTCTTCTAGAAGTTAACTTTGTTTAGCTCCATCCTTCTTCCCACAAACTCTGTTCATGTTTAGCGTCCCTGATGAACAGAAGCATTCCCATATCATGATGCTGCCGCCACCATGTTCAATGGTGGGAATGTTGTGTCCAGGGCAATATGCTGAGTTGGTTTACCACGACATGGTTTTGTCTAATTTTACATTTTTAGTGGTAAAACTATTAAGTTATGAAGTATCACATGAATTTGTGGCTTTAAAATCACAGCTTGGGATTTTATTATAAAATCCCAAGCTACAATTAGGTTATAAAACAGTGGCTTTGAAAAGTTGTAGGCGTATGAATGTTTCTGCCACTTACTGTAAGTAGTTGAAAGAAAACATAATGTTGTGTGATAATTTTAACACTTCTAACAATGACAGAAAATGTGTTTGGTTCTGGCGAGAGTACGCACCTCTCGGATCTCCTTGACCCATTTAAAGAAAAACACACTGAGAGCATTTTCACAGCCAAACAAGCAGAGGCTTTACCCATACAACAGGCCTGTAATTTGTTAAATATCTCTGGAAATGATTAAAGACTGCAGGAACGGACCGTTTTAGCAGAACCTTTCCAGGAATGCATTTTAAAGTGTTGAGATATGAATGATGATGAGTCAAAGCCCACTGGTCAGTCGGGAAACTGTGACTCAGAGTCTCATGGTCCGTCTGGTGTGGGATGAAGACGACTGAGGCATCCGGCTGAATCAAAGAGCAGAAACTCTTTCCTTTCTTGATTTTTTTTTTTTTTTTTATGTCTGGTTTTGTTTCTTCTCATTATTTATACCACAATAATGAGGTGGCTCATTGTTTTTCTAATGTTTATTGAAAACTTTCTTTCTGCCTGTAATCCAGCTTCAGCTCTGTGATTCACCTTCCCTGCAGAGACGTAAAACTATGATCGCTTGTCAGAAAAGGCTGTTCTCCGCTCATTAACTTCATCCCGTCACCTTCGCTGTGTTGTTTCTCATTGCTGGCTCTAATTCTCTTGTCAGCGTCAAGCCAAGTACTCGGAAAACAAGCTGAAGTCGATCAAAGCGAGGAACGAGTACCTGCTGACGCTGGAAGCGACAAATGCGTCCGTTTTCAAGTACTACATCCACGACTTGTCGGACTTAATTGATGTGAGTATGAATCCACACGACTCTCCCGTGGTAGAAATAAAGTTTTCGTGGAAGTTTACTGGGTTTTTGAGCAAAATTTGAAATCTTCGTTCTCATGGCCTCTCGCCCAGATCAGTCACGTTTGAAGATTGTCTTTTTCTAATGAAAGGAGGTAGTTTCGCATCATATTTAATTTTTTTTTTTTTTGTTAAAATAAAGGTTTACATTTATTTACCATCAATCTAAATTGTATCAGTTTCTGAATCCTTGCACTTTTAGTAATCGATCATATCTCTTTTCATTGCTGTATAAGCAGACTTTCTAGCTGGATCCTTTTGCCGTCTCCATGACTTATTTACGATCCGACTCACCTGCATTCCTCCCGTTGTAGCTTGGAGACGCAGAACTGCTGCACTAATTTCCCTGTTTTGTTTTGTTTTTTCTACCAAAGCAGGGGAAGGTCGGGTTTTTAGCGAGACTTTAGGTTTTTATATTCTGAACAAGACTAAAGGATGGAGAGACATGCAGCTTCTTCTCAGGCGGCATGCTGTGTGCTGAAATTACCCCTCTCCCTGCTTTGCTCACAGGCCTTCACATCTCACCGGGGTGTGTGTGTATCTGTGTGTGGTTGAGTGATATTATGTAGGATGCACTCTGCAGGAGCTGTGTGTCCAGGGTTGCACATATTTCTAAATTAACGGAGAGACTTTTCATGGTCAAAAACAACATCTGCTTTCAAGCAGGTGGAGCAGAAACATCCCAGCATCTTGGCTGAAAACCCAAGAAAAATGTAGAATTTGATGCAAATGTTTTCCATGTCTAGATATGATTAATGTTTTGTTTACGGATTTAATTCAACGTGTCATTGTCATCCATCTGTCCATCCATCCTTTCCATCCATTATTCTGTCCACCTATCCACCTTTCACTCCATCCCTCAGTCCAACAGGAAACTCTGGAAAATATGGGAAAGATCGAAAGAGTCCATGTTTTTTTTAAGAAACTCTGTTTCTTAGTGATTTCAGAACAGGCACTGAAATGTGTGAATATGAGTGTTTGAGTCTTGTGTCACAGAACGAGATGAGGTTCATTGTGTTAGGAATCAGCACCCTGAACATAATGTTCATGATAGGTAACACTCTTGGTTCAAAAAAATATGAAAATGTCTCTCTTTTATTTTTCATTTATCGTGTACCTTGTGTTAAACTAAGCATTCCCATAGGATTATCATCTGTTCAAAGAAAAAAAAGGGAAAATAAATTAACAGTGAATGTCTGTTAAAAGGCTTGTGAAAAATACTGGACCTGTTTTTGGGGCAAGTCAGTCCCTTGAGCTGCAAATATCAAGTATTTCAGGCTATTTCTCTTGAGATTTTTTTTGTTTTTTTCAAACTTTGCTACAGGTTCTCAATTAAACTTGCATTTTTGGCCATTCCAACACACAACAGGTTCTTTGATCCAAGCCACTCCATTGTAGCTTAAATATTATTGTTCTGCTGGAAGGTACATCTTTTATCTAGTTTTCCTTCCAGTATTGAGCATTTAGTTCCATCTGGCCTCCTTTCAACTCTGACAAATGTCCTTGTCCTGCTACTGAAAAGCTTCCCGCAGCTTGATGCTTCCAGTCAGGTTTCCGGCACACAGAGTCTTTTGCATGTGTTGTTGTTGCTCTTCTGCTAAGGCAAGACTTGTGAAGTGCACAGCTAGTAATTTCCCGTTGACGGATTCTCCAACCTGAACTATGGATTTTTTTTAAGTCTTCAGTTGCAGATGATGGATTGAAAACGAAGAAGTTTTAAATTGAGATACAGTTTTCTGACCTAATCCCATTTTAAAGCTCTCCTATCTGCTGTTTTCTGTGGTCTTCATGATGCTGTTTGTTTACTGATGCTCTCTATTTGAATTTTAAAGTTGCAAGTCAGCTGTGTATGGAAAATCCTAAATTTACAAGCCATTACAAAATATACAAACAAATTACTCATTTTATGAAGAGACTTTTTTCTTTTCATACGTCGCAATTTCAGAGAAATCATGTTTTATTTCTTATATGTTCTTTTAAATTTTCTTGCTTTTGCTGGAAATTGCTCGTCTAATATTTCTCTTTGTTTTATTCCATCTAGTGCTGCGATTTGGGATATCATGCAAGTCTGAACCGGGCCCTGCGGACCTACCTCTCGGCAGAGTACAACCTGGAAACGTCACGCCACGAGGGTTTAGATATCATTGAAAATGCTGTGGACAGTCTGGACCCACGGAGTGACCGACAGAGGTTTATGGAGATGTATCCGACAGCCTTCTGCCCACCAGCCAAATTTGAGTTCCAGTCTCACATGGGGGACGAAGTATGTTTAACTAACGTATTGATGAGAGGTGGCAGTTTTGTAGCAGTTAATTTTTGTTGTAGCTGATGGAGAGTTTAGATCCAATCTGAAATTCAAGGCGGATTGGGACTAGTCAATTAGCTTTTTTTAATAAGCCTACAATACACAGCTTAGAGAAAACTAAACAAGAATGTACAATATAAAGTTGAGTTAATTTACTTATTCCCTGTTAAGGAAAGAAAGGTGCAGAAGTTAGACTGCAACAAGCCCAGTACGCTGCACAACTAATGCGCACATGGAGCAGATTTTTTTCCGCTCCCATCAATCGCATATTCCAGACGATTTGCACTTGACTCAACCTTCAGCAACACAACGCAAAGGAGCTGGACCATGTTAAGCAAAAGCTAAAAACGGGACAATAACTAATAACCAGCAGCGTGCAAAGTCAGAGATCTGGGAGGATTTTAAACTGGTATCAGTTTACGATATGTCGGGTTTATCTTATTAGAGTTAATTAGTCGGGTTGGATCGGGCTCAATGCCTATGGGCTCGGAGCCCGGTTGGATTTTTTTAGGCCTGATCATGAGAACCAATCTCAAACATAATGAAATGAGGTTTTAATAGTAGGTGTTACAATGCAGTTGTTCTTTTTATTATTGTGAACAGGCTGCAGCATCACGTTTTATAGGGCACTAAATTTCGCAAATCAAGCATTATTCCTTCCCCTGGACTTTAAGTAGCTCAACATGTGTTTGGAGTTTAATTGCCCGGATGCCGCTATGCTGATATCATGTCTGTTAGGTAGCTCTTCTGCTGTGGCTGTCTGCCTTTCAGTTCGCTGAGGTTTGCTCTGTAATTAAAGAAGAATGTGGAAAGGATTTATTACTACATAAAGACGGGTTCTCTCTTCCAGGTGTGCCATATCACAGCACAACCGCCAGTCAATGGGGAGCTCATTCTCAGGTTCCAGCAGTTGCAGTCTCGACTGGCCACTCTGAAGATCGAGAATGAAGAGGTGAGACGGTGCCCTGCATTTTAAATAAATAATCCAGAAATTTGTGGGGGCGTTATGAACACATCCCTGTTCTTTGACTTGACTTCTGTTGACTTGGATAAAAGAGGCTGAGAGCTTCAGAGAATTAAAGCTGCTAAAGAAAGTTTGTCTGACGCCAACAAGGTTGGAGGAGAAACATAATAGCGCTGAAGATTCAGGTTTAAGTGTTTGTCGCATATCCATAAAACCCACAAGCTCATATTTACACTTTATGTATGTTCATCTATTTCATATATCACAGATGGTTTTAAAGTCCTTTTCCTTATTTTGCTGCAAGAATTCACCACAGTGCTTTTATTTTCTGTTGCATCTGTGTGGGAAAGCAACTCAAAGTATGCTGCTGAGCTAAAAGAACGACGGCCGTGACTGCTCCTTCTTCTTCTTTTTCACACTGTGCGCTCACACATATCCGCCTGACTGCTGCATTATGCCTGACCGGCTTCTCCTTTTTCAGGCATCTGTTATTGCCCTCCATTTTTCTGTGTTTGTGCTCCTTTACTTTTTCTCGTACATAGAAGAAGCAGGAACACATGGGTCAACTTCCATAACATCTATCGCTGTTTGATATTTGGAGTCAACACTCAGATCTTCAGTGGTCCTGACACTTTCAAACCATATTGACTTATTGGGTCTGCATTTAGCTACGTATCTCAAATTGCACCTTCTGTTCTGCGCTCGTCTCTGTCGTACTTAAAGTCTACCTGGTGTCGCTTGTTGCCTGCAGCAAGTTCTGCACAGTAGCAACAAAATCAAAGTGCAAAAAAAAAAAAAAACGTTGTAAAGCCTTTGAGTTTTGATAGTTGTGATGTTACACTTATGTTTAACATGAAGAGGAAGGAGAGAGTTGTACATAGGAATCTGTTTTTTCATCATCAGGTCAGCATGTCGCCACAGGCAGTGACCAGCTGAGCAGAGTAATGTTGTGACTCTTCTGCATAAAAAAACAACAACTTTGCCCCTGAAATTACAGGAAATGTCATTTGTTCACTCCTCAAATTAAGTGTCATTTACTGCCACCATGATACACTGCACTCAGTTTCTGTGTCTTCTTTACATTATTTCCCCATAATTGAAAGAGAAAATGCTCAGTGTCAGCCCAGTTAAAGTTGCAGTGCTTGCAGGATTTCTGAGCACACGCAACACCCCCCACCACCCCACCTCAACCCAGTTTGTGCATTTGAGTGTGTGGAAGCTGACGAGCTCCGGTTTGCTTCGTGTCCTTGTCCGCCTGCGGATGTCCTGGTGGGTCAGAATCCGAGGGCACTGCAGCCTCATGTACGGATCACCAGATGGCCTCTCTTCATGATGAGCCAGATTCATCCTTGGAAAAACGAACTCTCAAAGCACGGCGGCGACCTGCGCGCTCCACTGTCAAACCTAAGAGAGAGAGTCTGTGTCGTTATTTGGACAGGAAAAGCTACAGGGCAGAGTTTTATAGAAGTGCAGCTGCATCCTCAAAGCACTTCTGAGCTGGTGAAAGAAATCATGCTGAATAATTCACTGGTGGGTGGAGTGCAAAATGGGAAGCCTGACCCTGGATTTCAACTCAGCTGGGAGGAGCTCACTGTCGAAATCGCAATCAACCTTTTCCTGCAAGGACAGTTTTGTTTTCTGCTCCCTAGTCCACCTTTTTTTTTTTTTTTTTTTTTTTTTTTTGTCAAATTTTTAGATTAAATAACCTTCCAATCTACATTTCATTTACCTTTGTGTGGCCCAAAGTTCACACTAATGTTTCTCTGGTGCCTAGTGTCCTCAGAGCAGAACACAAGCCGACAGAGATGTTGTTCCTATGATTTTTCACACCAACTTCTGGTAATCTCATACCATCTCTTCTGAAGGGAGTCTTTATTTTTCATCCAGATACATTTCAGGGAGACGCATCAAAGCCGGTGTCTGTCTGTGTTCATAACTTGATGATGAGCAGATTACACACTCACCGCAGGGCCTGTTGAAAGCTATCGGACTGCAGTCTGGCTTCAGAGATGTGTTGATAGATGCTGAAATAGCTGCTAAGCGATGGGTTCCTTCTGACCTGGAGAGTCGCATTTATTTAAAACATCACAACTGGAAGTATTTCAGGTTTTGACAGCGCAAAAGTTAGTTTTGGCTCCCAGAATGAAGTTTTGGAATAAACCACGCTAATAATACGGAAGCTGAAATGTTGATAGTGAGCTTTTGGACATAGCTTAGCACAGACAAATAAACTTGACTCCACGCATGGGGCTTTGTGTCGGGCCGTTGTACAGCTGCAGGGCCTGGTGGGCATATAGTCAGCGTGTCTCCGTGAGCTGTGTGGTGACTGAGCCCAGCAGTGAACATCGATAACTATTCGTCCACTGAATAATGAATAAACTCAGCAGCTTTTTCACTGGGAGACATTCTCTTGCATGCATGGCTTCTGTTTTCATAATGACAGCTGGGCCTCTCTCCTCTGAAGGAAGGGGCCACCCGGGATGGGACTTGCCGGTGAGCGAGGGGTCCCAAACACACTCTGTGTGCAACCAGTGACTGAATGTCACAATACGTCACATTTTCTAAGGAACTTCTTTTGATTCTTTTCAAATCAACTTTTTTTTTTAGGAGTTTAGAGTCTGCTATCTTATTTCTTTTTTCTGTCATTACTCATGTTCCAAAATGTAGTTTGTTTCACCCGAATGACATGTTGGAAAACACTGAGACTACATCCACACTGTGTGCTTGAAAACACGTTTCAGCACTGTAATCCATCACAGGAAGAGAAGACAGCCTTTTATTTTCAGGAGGGGTAGGAGGGTGGGGGGTTTCTTCTCTTTTGAACACAGAGAGACGTAAAGGTCAAATAGCTTGTGAAGAACCAAGCTGCAATTGTTTTGTCTGGATGAAGTCTAACTATTTACATCCCCAGTCTACCTTGTCCTTTAAATATCATCGAGGTCAGACCTGGTTAGCAGCACCTGAAAAGCGGGGATGCTCTCTTTGTGTTAAAGGTGACTGGGATCATTAAGAGGAACTGGAAGGAAGTCGTCTTTTTGTAATCAGGGTCCCTTCAATCTGTGCAGCAAACAGAACTAAGATGGTCACAACCCTCTGTTTCCCGACAGGATATCTCCCTGTCAAGCGGTCAAAGAAGTATTTTCCTGGAGTTTTCCAGAGAGGTAGTTGTTTTTGTTCCTGCACCTTCTTGGGCCTCTTTTCCTCTGCAGCTTTTCCGCATCAATGATTCATTCTCTTGTTTTATATATATATATATATATATATATATATATATATATATATATATATATATATATATATATATATATATGATCAGTCAGAGAGTGGTTTTAAACTTTTTTTAAAGTAGAATAATTATAGCATTATTAAAAAAATTGTGGTTGTATTTCTACAAATTACTGCTTGTCTCTTTTTCTCATGCACTCTTTTGGTTATCAAACATTTGCCATTTGCAGGGCTTTTACGGATGCACTTTCACTCTTTATTTGCTTGTCCCATAATCTTATGTCGCCACATGATAGAGCCAGTCATGGCCTGCAGCTCTTGGATAACTTAAACATGTTTTGTAATGAATGGAGAAGGGTATGCTTGGCCAAAACCCTGATGTTTTTATATGCTTCAGGAGAAGCAGCGTTGACAGGCTAGGGGTGGTTATGGAAATTAATCTTTGAGGGCTGCAAGTGGATGTACCATCTCCAGCCAGCACCGCTCACCTCCAGCCCCTCTGAGTGCATGCAAGCTGATTGCTTTGGCTGGGAGTCGTGTTCAGCAGCCTGCGTTTTTTTTTTTTTTTTTTTTTTAAGATTGTACATCTTGTCAGAAAGCAGCTGAATTTTTTAGTGTCATGAGATGGAGAGTGTTTTGGAGAGAGTAGGAGTAAAGTGGGATGGGGGTATGGCGACATTGTGATGATGAAGAGGCGATATCGGGCTTTTAAGCTGGTTTCTTTTTTGTCCTTTGATCATAGCTTCCTCTTCTGATCGACAGGTGAAAAAGACATCAGAGGCCACTTTGACCACCATCCAGGACATGGTGACCATCGAAGACTACGATGTGTCCGAGTGCTTCCACCACAGCCGCTCCACAGAATCGGTCAAGTCCACCGTGTCCGAGACGTTCCTGAGCAAACCCAGCATCGCTAAGAGACGAGCCAACCAGCAGGAAACGGAGCAGTTCTACTTCATGGTGAGAGGCGGAAAGAAAACATGAATATTTGATGTGCGTCTCATTTTGAAAAGAAATTAAAATGCATGTCAGGGATTTTATAACAAAATTTACCTCGCGTCAAAGCTCTTACTTTCACTTGAATGTGCTTATTTTATTTTATTTTTTTCACCTAGAAATTGATTATATTTGGCAGAGGTCTTATTCTTCCTAAACATCTCTACATTGTGAAAGCAAACTGCTATCTTGGACTGGCTGGAAGATGGACATGTTCTGATAAAAGCTCTAAAAAGGCTTTTAGGATGTCCTTTGCCCTTGGCTGCCTTATCATTGATTGCTGTCTTGAGAGCTGGCTCTCCGGCTGGCACTCGGGGCGGCCGTGTAATTACTCTCGATTCTCCACAGAAATTCCGCGAGTTTCTGGAGGGCAGTAATCTCATCTCCAAACTGCAGGCCAAACACGACTTGCTGAAGAGGACACTCGGTGACGGTACGGTCAAAGTCCTTTTTTTGCCCTCCCCTGTGCTCATTCGCGCCCCGTTGTTGTGCTTCCTCCAGTCTTTTTTCAGACACACAAAATTTAGATCATTTCATTAGGTTTTTATTTGATAGACCAACAAAAGTGTGAAAGTTGAAGGAAAAAATGCATTGTGTTCATATATTCAGCCTCTTTTTCTATGATGCCCCCAAATAAAATCCACATAGTTCCATTTAAAAATAACCTAATTAGGACATAGTATCTAAACGTGTATAATAAAATCTCAGTGCAAATACAGCTGATTAGCGAAGCTCTCATAGGTTTGTGAGAACCAAAGAAAAACAGGGGGGATACCTCAAGGTTGTAGTTGTGGGGAGATTTAAAGCAGCTTTAGTTTACAAAAGACTAAATCTCACAGAACAATTTCAAAACCATTATCTAAAAATGAATCTACCAAGACATGGCTGACCCCCTCCCTCATCAGAAGCAGCCAAGAAGTCTACAGTAACTCTAGAGGAGCTGCTGAAAGCCACGGCCCAGACAGGACAAAGCAAACCTGTAAGGAAGCTGCACAGGTCAGCTGAAGCCATAAAATGTCACCTTTTGGGCAAAATGTTGTGTGGGAAGAAGACTGATGCTGCATATAGCCCCTCCCACTGTGATGGTGGCAGCATCATGATGTGAGGCTGCTTCTTTTCAGCAGCAACATGGACGCTAGTCAGTGTAGATGGTAACATGAATGGAGCTAAACACAAAACAATCCTAAAAAAAACCAAAAAAAAAAAAAAAACCTGCCAGACTCTAACAGCAGCCTGTTTAAAGTTTGCAGTGTTTTTTTTTTTTTTTTTTCATTATAATGAGTTATAATGAAAAGGCTTTAGATCAAAGCATATCCATGTGTTAGACTGGCTCAGTCAAACTAAACCAAAATCCAACCAAAATTTTTTGGCAAGACTTGAAAAGTGATTCTGCCTCAAATTTGACTCGACTTGAGCCATTTTTTCAAAGAACAATTGGGAGAAAAGTTTAAGTCTCTACATGCACAAGTGGGTGGAGGCGTAAACCAATTAGACTAAGTACAATAAAATGCTTAGTCAGAGGGACTGAAAGTAAATAATGGAGCCCGCACGTTTCAGATTTTTATCTTCCTCCTTCCACTTGACAATGATGCTGTACTTTTTGTTGATCTATTACATGAAATTCCCCTAAAATACACCAAACTTTAAGTTGTCATACTTTTAGATTTTTCTCTTGCAAACTCCTTTATTTTGCTTCTCCCTCCCCCTATTCTTGAAGAACATCCTGATAGAAATCTGGGTTTTAGTCATTCAAGCCACAACTGAAAGGGATTTTTAATTTGCATTATCCGACTTACTGACTTTGCTCCCCACTTAAGACCGCCGTGTATTAGACGGCCAGCCCTCACTGAGTCGGGCTCTCATTGTTCCCCTTTGGTGGGATCTCAGTCAGCAAGTGTCGGTGCTTGTGGTGACCTTCACTCCTGGTGGTCTCTGCAAAATCGCCCACTTAATGAGCACCAAAGCCGTGAATGAGCAACGAAGAGAATAGCCTGCTGTTTCTGACACATGCTACTTCATCATCCTGTTATCACGGAGCTGAAGGACAGCATGAGTCACTCAAACGCAGCAGCAGGTTTTATGCTGCTCATAAAATTTAAGCATCTTCTGATCATTAATGTTAAAGTAGATGTTTTCCTTCTAATCTTATTTTATTAGTCCAGCCTTGTAGATCGTGTGGTCAAAAAATGTCCAAATGTCCGCATGCCCTGGCTCTTTAATCTGTTGAACTTGTAATGTGGCTTTTTGTGTCGACTGCGAGCTAGAGTGCGCACATGAGAGCATAAAAGCAAATGTGGTCCTGTGTTGAGGATTTATTTTAGCTGCTCAAGGGGCCAACAGTAGTAGACAGACGGCAGGCTTCAAACGCTTCACTAACCGTGTGCACATTTCACCGCCGGGACACCCGAGACAGGTCCTGGCATGTGCACCAACTCCAACTTTATACGTCTTCTCTGTTATTTTTTCGTCTCTCCTCTTGCTGCAGGCCATCGAGCTGACTACATGACCACAAGGTAAAACACACACACACACACACACATGCAAACACTGCCACATGCAAACACATCTGCTACTGTTCATGTTGAAAGTAGAGTGCAGGTGGAGTCTTCAGAACCAACGCTTTCAAAGCGCTTGTGAGGCATTTCACAGCTCCAGTGCAAGGATGATGAAATTCTGCAGTTCAATTCTCGATTGTTGGCAGTCATTTTAAAGCGATCATATTTAAAACGACAGCAGCAATGGTTAAATGGTCTCCCCTCAATGACCAGCTCTTCATAAGGGTCTTACAAACAGAAGCAGGTCGACAAGGAAACCTTTGCAGACAATTGTTGCTTTACTGCACTTAAAATCCCATTTTCAATCATGTAAGGCACAACTTACAGCACATTCCTCCCATTTTGGCACTGGAATGTTGGATACAGGTAATATAATATTTTAAATGTATTTGTTTGATCTGTTCATTTCAAATATTTATTTAGTTATTAGATTGTGGCATCCCCCCCCCTTAAAATCAAGTCCACCAGCCTCAGGTTCGAATCCTGCTACATTTTCTGCAGCTTGAAACTGGTGAAGAGAAATGTGTGGGGACGTTGTATTTTGACCAAAGCGTGGCACGAGGTGTCAGTAAGATCTTAAATGTGTCAGCAAGTGGACAGAACTTCCAGCTCAACATTATTGTCCAAGAAAGCCTTTTATATGGCAACAACCATGAGAGCAAATAAAAAAATAAATAAAAAAAAATCTTCAGATTTCATCTTTTGGTCTGACATTTAAGAGTTTTCCTGGCCCTTGCAGTTTTGCTGCTGTGAATAGGAAGCAGAGCTGAAAACGTGAGGACCTGGGATGCTACAGGTGGCGAGAAGCCAAACTCGCACCAACACACACGTCCTCACAGCGCAGCAGAGGCTGTTCCCAGCAGAGTCTGTCATGAGATGGATGCTGACACATACGATGCTCCCAGCAGCTCTGACATTTCAGTGGCCTGAGATATCTTGCGGGGGGGAAAGTGAATAGTTGTAAGAGGTTTTCATTAACCTGTCTGTCATGTGCAGTAAAAGGGATTTAAAGATTATTTAGCTTAAACTTCAAGGTTCCGAAGGACATGAAATGGTTTGAAGAAGCAGTACACCATGTGCAAGCCTTTTGATATGAACTGAGATGTTTGTTTATTCTAATGCATTCTTTGTATTCTACAGTAGACATCCCAATGGGCTGTACAAAACCCTCACAGGCCCCCGGCGGCCTAGACCCCGCTCTTGTTTCAATGTTAAGCTATTTAATGGAAATTTGGAGTCATTTATCAAGGTACAGATTTAACATCTGCTGGGTGGCTTTTGTTCTCCGCCTATTCTTTCCATTTCTTTATTTTCCACTCTGGCTTTCTGACCGTTTTGGTGGGCTCCCCCGAAGCATCTCGGCTTTGATTTATTGTTAACCAACAACAGATTTCTGCTAAGATGGATCCTGGAAGCCGTCAGCATGAGTCATTGAGCTCTGGCGCTCTGCCTCTGGGATGCATGGTGGCATTGATAGATTTGAAGGGTCGCAGGAGGGAAGCAGCAGCAGCAGTTGGTGGGCTAAATATTTGTGTCCGTCAGCTCCCCGGGCTTCCTGCTGAGCTGGCACGTCTGAGCCGCTCTGGCAGAGATTTTCTCCCCTCAGCCAGTGGAAACAGCAGGGTAAATGGCAGTCAGGGGGGGCAGATGCCAGGCCGATAAGGTGGGCTGCCTCTGTCCTCTAATCCCCTTGTTGCCTCTGGCTGGTGGGTCCATGCCCAACACTGCCTGGTCCTTTTCAGACCACAAAGTCTTTGTAGGTTTGATAACAGCGCAGGGTGGAGTGAAGGTGCTATTATGCTATAAGCTTAGGTGGGCAGCTGGTGCAGTTCTAACCTGGGTCTTTCTTTTTTTCTCTTTACTTCCTGGTTTCCTCTTTGCCTCTACTGATTCTCCTCTTTAGCCGCGGACGCAGGAACTCACATACTCGACATCAGGTAGACTCCGAAGCGGTTTCGGAAGCTTGTGCTTCTTTTGCCTTTGCTCATTCTTTTAGCATGATGGATATTTCATTATGTATTCTTCTAAATAAAACCTTTCGACAGACTGAGTTGAAGACTTTCTCCGACGAAAGATAATCTGACACACCCCCACATCGACATTTCGTCAGTGATTCCACTTTCACATGTCAAAAAAGGCATGCTGGTACAGAGTGCAGCTGCATCCTGGTCAGTGCATCAACTCTACTGAAATTAGTGTAATCAATATTGGCATGGGTGTTCTGTTTGGACCCACTGTGTACCCCTGAGGGCTGTAAACAAATCCACTGTATGATTAAAAAGGATTCAGAGTCTGTGTCCGTCAATGGATCACAAAATCAGAACGATAGGCCAGTCTACATCTATGAAACTGCTGGGTTTTGACTTTTAGTCCTTCTTTGCTGGCTGCCATATTGTGTAGGTCTTTAGATATGCTCTTAACACAACAAATAGCACCTCAAAACATCCTTGCCATAGCTTTTAATGCAATACTTGGAATCCACCACATTCTCAAATTGTTTACAATTAAATTAAGTACAAGTACAAGAAACGTATCATCCAGTCAACATTTTCCTTCTTTAGCACCAATTAGCATTGAAAGAGAAGGAAAAGTATCCCTAATTTTAAGGTAAACATCTTATTTTACCTCGTAGTCGAGAAGATCAAAAATCTTAATTGTGAAAATTTCACGTCTAGAGTTTTACAAATTAAATGTAAATATATTTTCCATACAAATATTAAACCTCTGAAATTATACCCGTCTTTCAAAAGAGCAGTCTGCACCTCTGTTCCCGTGACAATTGGCCATTTCTGAAAGTGGGCATGAATAAACAAATTGATGACATCAACTCAGTCTGTTTTAAGGTTCTCAGAAATCGGCTTTCCCTTTCTGCCCAAACTTTTCTGACCTTGTGTGTTGGCATGCTGACACAATGGTAGGACCTTCTACCCTTGTGTAGACCACTACCTGTTAGAGCCCTACCAATATCATGAGTCAACTGGAAGATGTATAAGAATAAGTAAAAAAAAAAAAAAAAAACTCTGCGTTTTTATTTGGTTTTTGTCTGTTCATTTAATTAATTGAAATGTACAGATAATGCTAGACATCAGGTTGCCATATCTTTATTGGTATTTATGTTGTTGCTACACATTGGTATGCCTCTAACATGTATTCATGTGACTTAAAGAACATGTGTACAGGATTTTTAGAAAATAAATAAAATCCTGATGATTTGTTTACTCTTTCTCCCGAAGGACTCTGGACAAGCCATCCCCAGAGTGGTTGAAAGTTGTATCCGCTACATAAATCTATATGGTGAGTCACTCATCTGATCTGCTATTGATTCTCTAATGCGCTGAATGACACTCAGCATTCGAGCAGATGATGTGGCTTTTTAAGATCCACTTCAAGTCACAGTTCTGGGAAAATACAGATTCACTCTTGTTTTCTGCAGCTGACACGTTTCCACTCGGCCTCCCAGATATACTGTGAAGCTTTCAGCTCAGGGGAGCTGTGAACAAGGGGCTAATATAAAAGTCTTTAATTAAGATTAGTACCAACTCTCAGAGTTTTGAGTTAAAGCTTTTGGAGATGCCTAGTTTGTGACGAAGGAATTTGAAAGGAGGCAAACGGCAAACTAATTTTGCTTTCTCTCGACTCTTGACCTCTCCCCTCATTAAATCCTAATCCCAGCTGGAAGACACTTCAGGAGAACATGATTGCAGTCTCCTCGACTCATTACTGTCTTTAATTAGCAAAGTGAAGGGGCTTAGCGAGGAGGTTGTGCTTTTTACGACCAGCTAAGAAAACCGTTTTAGTTGAGAGGGGTTTTTTTGTGTGTGTGTGTGTGTGTGTGTGTCTGTGTTGTATGTTCATTAAAGTCGACTTAGAAACTAAGTCTGTTCTAACTTTGCCTTTTTATGTCTTTGGCTCTGAAGGCCTCCAGCATCAAGGGATCTTTCGTGTGTCTGGATCCCAGCTGGAGGTCAACGACATCAAGAACTCTTTTGAGAGGGGTGAACAACTTCAGCTACTGATTTATCATGAATTACTTTTTATCCATTTTCTTTGAATACATGTGATATTCTCTGATTATTAAAGCAGAATCCTAACTATATTTTTTTTCCATAAATCAATATTTGTCCACTTCCCTTTCTTATCTGTAATTAAAATTATCCCAAAACTTGTCCTCTGTGATCCGTATCAGGTGTGGCCAGCCACTGCAGTTAGACTCCAATTTTTTTAGACCGAACGCGTTGTTGAACTGCAGAGTCTGAATTTATGACACTCTAAATTTAACAGCCATTAAACAAAGCATTTGAACAAATATATTGCCCAAGTTGCCACACACAAATAATGCCAGGACTATATATTTGTGTTATGATGTGCTGCCCTGCTGATGTTTCTGTTATTGCGTTTTAGGAAACGACCCTCTAACAGATGATGAGGATAATCATGACATCAATTCGGTGGCTGGTGTTCTCAAGCTCTACTTCCGTGGTCTGGAGAACCCTCTTTTCCCCAAAGAGAGATTTAACGACTTGCTGTCATGCATCAGTAGGTTCACATTTTGTATCCGTATTGCTTCTGTGATTTTTTTATTTTATTTTTTTTTTTTATAAAAATATTGTGGATAGGGATTCCACAAGTTTTTCTCTTCCTTACCAGCTGTAAAAGATGATTTTCTCAGCATAAAAAAAACTGTTTTCAAATTGCATCTTAAATTATTAAGGGAACAAAACTGTCCAAAGCATCCTGACCTTATGTGGAAAAAGCTTCTCATTTGCGATATTTTTCCGTAACTAGAAAATTTTGATTTATCTTTAAACGAGTAGATTCATTTACTTTACTTCACATTGAGAAAAATATTACTATTTCTATGTTTTAAAGCAAAACAAATACTCCCAATGAAATAATATACATTTTATATAATATAATTTGTATCAAATGTATTTATTTATTTATTTTTATTTTCATACAAAGATATGAGCAAAATGAATTGAAAACCCCATTTTGCAGAATATTATACTTTTTTGCCATTTCACTTGGACTGAATTCATATAGCGCTTTTCTGCTAATATGAATAATGAACAAACAACCTTTAAACTATTCCCTGACTGTAGTCTTCATAGATAAGAAGCTTTTTTAATTCATAAATGAACTTTCCTGAAGTTAGCCTCATGCCACTTGTAGCTTGATAACTTTATCATTAAACACCCTCCATCATATTAAGGGCTATGGGCTGTGCTGGTTAGATTTCAACACCATTTCTGCTTTTGGTGCCAAGAAATGTGAGGTAAAAGTGTATTTAGCCGTCGTTGATACCCGTGGCTATGCCAGACATGAATATAATTTTAGAGTCACTCTGAGCGATATTATGCTTTACGTTGGTACGGCTTGTTTTTCATGCTTTACATGTGAGGAGCTTTGTTTCTCCCGAAGAACAATTGAATTCCCACAAAGTCATGTGCTCACGCTTGCTGTGGGGATTGTGTTGAGGGACAATCCTGTGCACTCTGTGTTTTCAAGCTTCTAAATCTTTTGAGTGTTTGTGTGGTGAAATGAAGATGATGAAGTGTAGGATGGTTTCCTGGTTCTGCCATCATGTAGTTATTCTGGATGAGTGATGGGGGATTCCCTGTTTACTCTCCAGTGATTACAGTCTGAACTACGGGCCCAACAGTAAAATAACTTTTTCCCATTTCAAGAGGCTCACTCCTGACGAGATTTTCCATTTACCTGCTCTGTTTTTTTTCATCACCAAATGCCGCTTGTGATGGATTTGTAATCTTCAGCCAGGATGTTTTGAGCAGAGGTACTCTGCTTGAGATGTATTTGTCCCAGTGACGAAGCCTACGTCGACGTAGACCTCTAAATATTAGCTTCTGTCGTCTGGAGAACCACACAGAGACCTAGTTAGGTATTCATGAAAAATGAAACGCATCACAAATATTCCAGAAGCCCAAATCCCAGATGACACAGAGAGGCTGGAGGATGACGACGCGGCTATTTTTAGCAAGCTGGCACAGCCTCAGCCTCTCCAAGTGAAACACGCAGGCTGCTTCAGGTGAAACAAATGATATGCCGATGGAAGACACAAGTGCCGGCTTTGTCTCGCATGTCTCAGAAGTGCTCTGGCAGAAAAAGTTTCAGTGTTTGGTCTTTAAATAAAGGTACGTTTGTAAAGTTTACTGCGGAGTCTTTCCTCCCTTTCTGGGTCGTTCTCAACCCTCAACTGTGCTGTTTTCATGTGGCGCAGGAGAAACGGTTTGTCATCCTGGCTGTCGTCAGTGAATAGTTTAAACTTCCTGCACTCCTTCCTTTTCCTGTGAAATATGAGGAGTTGGATGTCATTAACACAGAGGTGCCACATTTCAGATACACAGATGTAGACCTTAAAAAAAACACTCACGCTCCATGTTTCACAATGTTATCACGTTTGTTCATCCCCAGGGTATGTAACTTCTACTTTGTCAAATATATTTCAACGCAGTACTTTGACAGAACATTAAAACAATTATTGACCCCAAAGTAAACCCCACATGGAAAGGAATAACCTCGCCGAATCTGCCGCTGCAAGGAATGTGTAGGGATAAGCTCCCCCAGGTTCACTCCCTAGACTGAGATGAAGGTGTTTCATTAATTGTGTGTCTCTGTTTTTCTGTTTTAGGAATAGACAACTTGTATGAGAGAGCGTTATACATCCGAAAGATCCTCCTTACCATTCCCAGATTGGTTCTCATTGTGATGCGTTACCTCTTTGCCTTTCTCAACCAGTGAGTCTACACACTTAGTTAAATTAATCTTCAATCTCAAAGCTTGTCCTCTCTTTATCCAGGTTTGTTTGAAGTTTTTTGCTACAGGGACGTTTCTTTGGAAAGCATTTTTATTTCAACTCCTTGCGTCTCCTTCCAGTCTGTCCCAGTACAGCGATGAGAACATGATGGACCCGTACAACCTGGCCATATGTTTTGGTCCCACACTAATGCCGACTCCAGACACCCAAGACCAGGTCTCCTGCCAGGCTCATGTGAATGAGATCATCAAGACCATCATCATCCACCATGAGACCATCTTCCCTGATGCCAAAGAACTGGACGGGCCCATCTACGAGAAGTGCATGGCCGGCGGCGACTACTGGTAGGGAACATAAAGAATGTCCTGTAGTACATTCTTATGTGTTAGCACCTCATTAAATTTTAAACTTTACAATGTGAAAACTTCAATTTGTTTTTCTGGGGTTTTACTTGATAAACAAACAAGTAGTAGGTAAAAGATATATGGTTTCCATGTATTTATTTTATTTTTTTTGTTCAATTGAATCTTGAAAACTGTGGGATGAATCTATATCTAGCTCTCTTTACTCTGATGCTCCTAAATAGAAACCAGCTTAGCTATTTGCTCTTAAATGTCAACTAACTAGTAAATAGAGTACATCTGTAATTTAATGTTATGTAAAGTCAGTCTAAATCCTGCTGTTCAGAGATTGTTGGAGATCATTAAAAAACTAGCAGCACCATGAAGACCAAGGAACACAGCAGATGTTTGAGGAATTCAGTTAAAGCAGGTTAGCTTATAAAACAATCTACAAGGGTTTGAACATCTTACAGAGAACCATGATCAATCCATCATATGGAAATAAAAACAGAAAGGCACATCTACAGACCCTCCAAAACAATGCCATTCGCCTAATCTGACAGACCAGGCAAGAAGAGCATTAATCAGAGGAGCTGTCAAAAGGCCTGTAGTTTCTCTGGAGGAGCTGCGGAACTCCACAGGTCAGGTTTAAGTTACTTTATGAACGTTAACAACACACTTTGTTGTGTGTAGCACTAGAAGAACCAATTGCTAGAATGTATCCAAACAAATAAGCCTTGCTTGAACCCTATAACTAAGAAGGTTTTTTAAAAGTATGTTCAGCAGTACAACAGTTGCATCATCTAACCCTCTATTAGGACTGTCCAAAGCCTTTTTGCTGCTCAGGCTCTAATACAACCAGAGCAACAATGACATGGTTTTGATCAAACAATTGTCCTCTATTGAAATGGCGCAGTCCAACTCCAGACCTCACTTGTTGCTGTCTCTCTCCATCTATTCTGGGTGAGCTTGAGCTTTCAAGCAAGAAAGAAAGGGGGGGGGGAGGAAATGTCCATCTCCAGATGTGCAAAGCAGAGAAACATACTCCAAATTGCTTGCAGCTGTAATTGCACCAAAAGGTGATTCTACATTGGATTGACCCAGTGGGGGGTTGAATACAAATGAACACCAACTTTTTCCTTTGAGTTTTTTTGTTGTTTTTTTTTGCGAAAAATCTTGAAAACCCTGCATAGTTTTGCTTCCATTTGATAATTATGCACTAATTTTGTTTTGGTCTATTAAATAAAACATGGAAAGGTTCAAGTAGAACAACGCTTTGGCAAAGCACTACATGCTCAGTGTAATGGCAGATATTGAATGCACGGTTGCATCTCTGTTTTTAAATCCAAGTTAAAGTGTAACTACCAGGATTTCCTGTCGCAACCGTCTGTAGCCCGAGTCATGGCTTATGTATCATCAAAGGCAAAGGTGCAAAAACATCCCAGTGAAGTCACTGCATGCAGCTGCACTGAGGTTCCCAAAGGGGTCTGACAGGTAGTGGTGGTTTTCTCATTTCTGCTTTGTTATTGTTGACGGAGCACAGGCTTTGAGCCAAAGCACGAGAGGTCCGACTAAACACGTAGGTATGCTCGCAATGCTTCAGCTGCCTGTGAGGTTCATACGAGTAATTATGCACACCAGCTAGCTGAGGCCGTAGAACATGACAAGGTAGCGCCTTCATCAACTGTGACTCCCCACGGACTTCTCTATAGACGAGACAGACCGAAGCAATCACTTAAATTGCTGGGGTAAAACAGCAATGATTAGTCCAAAATGGAGCACAAGCTGCAGTCAGACAGGTCACACTTGTTAGGGCTCCTTGCCAGACCCACATCTGTAAGCAGGGCTTATATCTTGTTTCTTTCTGTCTTTATCGGCCTCTGTTGAGGCTGACGGGGATTTATCCCTGACTAGAACTAATCACCCGTCTCAGAACTGCCGTGTCCCACGGTAGTGCCTACCAAGCCCTTGGGAGATTTGTTGTCTTGGCAGCTTCACCGTCCTTTCTTGCTGGAGTGGAGGTGGAGGGGACTCTCAGTTCCTGGCAGAGGTAATCTGTGGAGAGAGGGGCGTGGGGCATCACTGCCAGCACTCACAGCCCGGTGCCAAAAGAAGAGCTCTTAAGAAAAGATCCAACCACCGACGGAGATTATGAGACTTTCAAAGAAATGTGATGATGATAGTTGCTGAAACGGCTTCTTTGTTTAATTAACCATCGTTGCGCCTGGAAAGTCACTCTGGAAACTTTTGAGGGGGAAACATTAATTCGTAAAGATGTAGAATAACACAAGGAAAGATGTGTTTGGAGAAGAGCTTTGACCTCTGCGGTGGCTCATGGTTTGCATGTTGTTGTTTCTTTTTGCCCACAGTGAGAGTCCCTACAGCGAGCATGGGGCACTGGAAGAGGTGGACAATGAGGGAGGGACAGAGACGCACACCAGTGAGGACGGTGGGTGACAATAAAATCCATTATTTGTGCATAAGCAAAATAGTCTGCCAAAGTCTGTCTTTATATAGTGTTGTCTTCTTTAAAAATCATAATCCATTGAACACAGTAATTCCACTTGATGAGTCTTGTATTGTGCCACACAAATTTACATGAAAAAGAGAAAAGAGTATGATTTTAGCGAGCTGTATGTTCATATCCTTAGTCCAGATCTTTCCTCCCTGTTGTGGTATTTTCAGGGTTAACCTCAGCTCTCGTGAGCTCTTGCTGGTTAATCCTCCCTTTCAGGCCCGTTAAATACATTAACCTTGAATGGCCAGAGTACTGGGCTCAGAGTGATGGACAGCTATTTATATTGTAATTTTTCTGCTGCTTCTGTGGGACCACAGGACATCTCCACATTCCTACGTTATAAAACCCATAGTGGTCTGGATCCTCTTGACTCTTTGACGTTCCTTAAGGGTCTCTTTCAGGATAGATGCTAATTTGTCAAATGCATTGTGTGCAAAAACTGTCAGCTGTTCAAAATACACATTCTGTTTTTTTTGTGTTTTTTTTATAATTTTATTACATTTATTTCAAAAAGTCAAATGTGAAACGAGACCACAGTATGAAGGGTCTTGTTGGATTTTTTATGAAGTCTTTTACAGGTTATTCCACTCAACTGCAGAGCTATTCTAAGAACACAAGAACCTGAGAGATATTTAACCAGAAGAGATTTATTTAAGGAAACCATGCTGGAGCGTCTAAATGAAAAATAGAGCGAGTCTCTTCTTTCTCTGCACCAGAGAAAATAGAATATTATCTTCATGGAGGACTTTGCTTTTCTGCCTTTGCTTTTCAGATGTTTAACATGTAACTAGAAGCCAAGAACGAGGAAATGTAGAAAAAAAAACGGGACTTTGAGGAGAAAAAAACTGAACAAATCGCAAATCGCAGAAAGGAAAAGGCAGAGAAAATGTTATACAACATACACACATCTTGATACCATCAATTTATGTTCAAAGTTCCCTAAAGACCTGAAAGTCCCTGCAGTGTTTACATTAATGTACAGCATTGATCCTACTCCTGTTTTTGCTAAGAAGGTCCTGAGTTATAGTTCATTAATTCCTTTGACTCCTTATCTGCATTCAATGGGAAACAGACCTCCTGAAGGTATGCTTTCTGTTTTTAACATGTTGAATTAAAGCCATCAGTCACAACGCTGACTGAACGTCTTTTCTTTCTCCTTTTAAAATTTGTAGATAAGGTGATGAGAATATTTTTCGAAACAATCAGTGCACTTCAAAGAGCAAGTGAAACAGTTGTCACCGCTGCATTTCTGTGCAATTTTTTAGAGGCGGACCATTTATTCACTGTACAGCATGTGGGTTGTTTTTATAGTTATACTCACTCTGCCAAGTGGATGAATAATTTCAGGCCTAACTGTATTAGAATTGAATCAGTCATGGTCACAATATCTACGTTTCCAATGTAGAAATTGCAAGGACTGCTTGGTATTTGGTAGGATATTAAATGTAATGTTAATTCTACATTCTAGTGCTCTATCTGGCTAAACAGATGGACTTTTATTCAATGACCTCATCTAATGTATATTTTAAGTGGCTGAGATAAAAAGCCTTGTAAAGAGCGGTTGGGAGAAATTAAAGTTTAGGTGTTTTTATTTTGTTGTACATAACGTATAATAAAAATATTCGAGAATAAATCCTTAAATAAAATAAAATATACATTGGACATTTATAACCAGCTTTAAATAAGTTCTTTGCACTCTAGCTGGACAGGTATGAGAGCTTTTGATGATCATCTTTGTGACATAATACCGTCCCACGTTACATCCTCCAAAATATCCTGCTGTATTTCTCTTTCTCAGAACAATATCTGCGGTAATGACTAGACTTTGTGACACTTTTTCTCAGACCTGACTGTCTAAAAGTTGTTGTACATTGAGAGTCAGCAGAGCAAAGTTTAATGTTAGCAATAAATCTGAGGCTGTGTTTCTTATCTGCGTGGAAAAACATTTGAACAAACCGTATCAGTTCAGTATATATTAAACTTTTTATATTATTTAAAATGATAATTAAAAAAAAGAATAGCAAACGTCTCTTGATATTTGTTATGGCATAAAATATAACACTTAAATTGATACACATAGACCTTATACCCAGTACATTAATAAATGTTTTTTTTTTCTGTTGAGCTTTTTTGTTATTTCCTTTAAGGCCTTTAAGCTTCAGGTCTCAAAGTTTTAAACATTTAACTTTCCCTTCTGATATGCATTATCAAACTACAAAAACAAAGATGAGGGATTGAGGAGGTTTACCGGGAGGATTTTTGTAAAGCGTAGCCAAACTTGGGCTTCACATAATCTGGTGGCACAACAAGGACCAACGCCAGCTGCCAATTTTTTTCTTGAACCTTAGTTTCCTGAACTCTCATTTACCTTGGCTGATTTCCACCATGAAGTCTAGAACAACTATTCTGACCATACCCTATAACTTATATAGTGTCACTACAAATATTAACATAAATAAATGTTGCAACTTAAAGGTTTGTCCCTTTTTTTCCTAAATTAAAAAATTAAATTAAAGTCTCTACATATAACTTTATGGCCATTTTCTTGAGATTGCCTCTTTCTCTCATTAACTTGGATTCCCTCCGGTAGATTTTTTTTTACCGGGTCAGTCAACAAACAAACAGTAAAGTTATGAGCAATGACATCAATTTTCTGCACGGGTTTAGAATTGTAGTCTGCCTGTAGTTTTAGCGGAGATGGTGTACAAAGCCGTTTGGTCCAAATAGTGATTTAACATTACCAGACGCCTCACTTGGCTCAGCATTTCTCTTTTCACAGTTTGCAACACAGGAAATTTCTGGTAAGCTTTATAGCCTCGTACGTCATGGGTAAAGATTAGCGATTGGGTAAAATTTAAAACCTCATCAGAGTCCACGCCTCCAGGAAGCAATCATTGCTCAATAGACAAGAGTCCAGATCCTCTGTATGAAGCAAAGCGTAGAACTGGTTGCTATAATTTCAATACAGACCAAAATCTCTGGTTTTTTACCAGATTACTAATTAACCCAACAAACTTTAAAACTACAACATTAAGATTGTTGGTTTTACACTAAAAATGATGAACACAAGCTTTAAAATAAACAAACTAAATTGCTGCCTGTGTGGCAAACGATTAACCCGATGTGACAAAGTGTAAATGTTTCATGTGACATGACTTTCACCAAGGGAATTTTTCAGAATGACACCTCTGGGTCGCCGTCATTGCATCGATGTTCTATTTGCCGGTAAAAATCATTGCAAGGTCAGGGATGAACTAACTGGCACATTGATTATACATCACTTTGCAGAAATACATTAGGATGTCCTTGTTGTCTGCTGCCCCCACAGGCTTACAGTTCAGATTGGATTACATGTGTTAATGAAAATTTATGTTTCTGAACAGAGCAGATCATCCTTTTTTTTTTTTCTCATGAAGTGAGGTTAAGTTTTCCACCTCATCATCTTTCCCACTTCTCTGTTTACAGCAGGATGCCACTACACAGAACTACTAAGGGTTCAAAATTATTATTTTTTTATGTATTATGAATATATTTGAACCTTGTTCTGTTCATAAACGCATCTCACTTACAGCTTGTGCTGCCCTGTTTCTATCATACGAACAATGCAGCAGAGCAAGACGCAGAGACAGCGCTCCACTGGTTTGTGGAAGATATCTGACAATCCTCCGACCGTCAACAGTCTCAGCTGTGTGGATATTTATCTAAAGAGAAGAGAATTCAGCATCAGTGAAAGGGCCCCTGACCACACTGACAATTGAGTTTTCCACTTTGAGTTTCAGCCACGTCACTGCAGCGCAAAAAAAAAAAAAAAAAAAAAAAAAAATTTTAAATAATATATTGCCATTAAGTTTGGGGGGGAGAAAAAACAGAAAAG